CGAGCCGCGCCCCTAGGCGACGAGAGGGGCCCCACGGCCCAAGGCCAACAAAACTAGCCGCGCCCCATGGCGACGAGAGGGACACAGGCACGGCCCAATGGCCAAAACGAGGGGATCCGACGCGGCGACGAGACGCACCACCCTCAGGTCTTGGCCTTGACCCAGTCCCGCATGGCTCCCAGCACGGGAGGCAGCACGTCCTCCCAGTTGGGCCCGAAGCGGTCCCTGGCCATGCGGATCAGGTCGGCATCCGACCACTCGATGTTGTCGCCAACCTTGTCCATGAAGTCCTCGTTCTTGCTCTTGTTCTTGCCCCTGCCTGCCTTGGCGAGTCCACGGGCGGCCTTGACCACCGCGTGTCCCGCTCTTCTCGACCAGGGGCACCTTGGGCGGGTTCGGGCCAGCAGCCTCATCTGCCATAGCCTCCTCGCCTGCGTCACAGACCTCGTCGCCAAAGGAGCTGGCCAAGTCAATCACTTTTGCTCGGCCTGCAGCGAGGTCGTCCCCGCTGTCCCTCGAGCGGGAGGCGGCCCACCACTCCCCGAGGCCGTCGAGGTAAACCGACTCCACCTCCTCAGCTTCTTGGGGGCCTCCGGCTCCTCCTGCGCGACCGTCTGGTGAGCCTGCTGGTACAACTCCGCGAGCTCCTCCTTCTGCTGCTTCTGAATGCGACGAACCTGCGGCGGAGCAGCTCCTCCGCATTTGCGACAGCTCGCGCGCCACCCGAAGTTCACCTCCTTGCACCCGCACTTCCACTTCTTGACGTAGTTGTTGAGCGAAGCCACCAGCTCCTTGGACGGCCTCCACGCCTGGCGCTTCGGTGCCTTGGCTGCCGTCAGCAGTGCCAGACCCTGCTGTGAGGGCCGCCACGGCGCCTTCGGCATGGCCTTCGCCTTGATGGTCACCTTGACTTCCGCCTGCAGCACCTCCGTGGAGTCCTCCTCCTCCTTGCAGCTGTCCGAGCTTTCCTCCTGCGTGGGACTGCCATGCACGGACATCCTGCTGCCCAGGATGTCCGCCACCGCTGGCCAGTCCACAACCAGGTCCAAGTCCATCTTGGCTTGGTGCGAGAGGGCCTCTTGATCCGCCTTCAGCTTCACCTGCCACGACAGATCCGAGATGACCTCCTTGTTGCTCTTCTGCATCTCCAGGGCCTTGCGGTTCTCCATCCTCTGCTCGCAGGATATGCCGACTGGCCAGCCCGTGGCCGCCCAGCTGCTGCTCTCCTGCGCCTCCCCCTCCTCGTCCGTCTGGAGCTCCGCTGGACTCGGGAACTCCTCGGGCGAGTACTTCGTCTCGCACTCCATGCTGCCACAAGGGCGTTGCGCAGACGACGATGTCCACGTCCCTCGTGCCCAGCTGCGACTCGATGGCGCCCAGCAGCCTGGCGACCGCCACTGCGCCTTCGCCGCGTGCGAGGTGATCCCCGTCGGCGAGGATCCGAATCATGCCATTGCGGCCCGGGCGCGTTGCACCCCCTTCACGCGCGCGCGCCCCACCTCGAAACGATTCGAGGGAAAGGGGCTCCTTGAGCCAAAATGGCTTGAGCCAAAATGGCTACGGAGGGGAGTAGGGAGAAGACGGGTGAATAGGATGAGGAGGAGGAGGAGGAGGAGGAGGAGGAGGAGGTGGAGGAGGAGGAGGAGGGGGAGGAGGAGGCGGAGGGGGAGGAGGAGGATGAGAAGGGATAGGAGGAGGGAGGAGGAGGAGGAGGAGGAGAGCAAGCAAAATGGCCAGATGTCTCCTGGATGCTTCTCGGAGCCTCTTGGTGTATCTCTTGGGCGTCTTGGGACGTCTTGGGGGTCTCTTTGCGGTCGTGGGGGGCTCTTCGGCGTCTTGGGTGCCTCGGGGGGGGCCTCTTGGGGCCGTTTGGGATCCTTTTGGGGGCCTCCTGGGGGCCGCTTGGGGGCCTCTTGGGGCCATCTTGGGGCCATCTCGGGACCTCTTGGGGCCTCCTGGGCGCTTCTTGGGGCCATCGTGGAGGAGATCGATCAACAAGAAGGGAGCTTTAATTAGGGTTCCCCCCCAAGAGGCCAACATGGGGCCCAAACCTTAGTAAAACCAATGATGTTGGCTTCCTCGCCGAGACCGTGTTGGACGCTCCGACACCTCGCGGAACCCCTTGTCCAGGTCCAGGGGAGGGGGTTGGGGGAGGGGTAAACCCCTCCCCGAAGGGGAAGAAGGAGGGGTGGAAGAGGAAACTCTCTAAACCACCGACGCCCAGAGGGCTGGTGGGATTTATGTGTGCTTATACCAGCAACATTGTTTTTAGTGCACCCGTCATGTTTTTGCCACAGGGCATCAAGCATCTACTGGGCACGCATGGCATCACGCTCGCACGGTTGCGTTAACATCGTGGTTGTGTTTTGCATGTTCGCTTGAAATGTAAGACGCTATGCAACACGTTATGTCGTCGAAGACTTGGCTAGCTAAACGCCACGCCGGAGGTTTCTGTGGATTCCCAGATCCCACTATTTCAACCGCCTTCCTACTTCAAGAATCGATGTGCGTTTGCTGGGTTCTGTTATTGTTATTTTCATTGAGAACCCGGGCTCACTATTCTATTATATCCGTTTTCCAACTTCATGTTTCTTCTCACGACCGACGGGTATGGTTGTTTGTTGACTGCGTTAGGAGGCTGCAGATGGGGAGACTCCTTTCGTCGTGATTTTGCCACGGCGCCAGGGGGGTGGGTCCAGCCAGGCCTCTTCTTCCGCCGCTACGTGCGAACTCTTCCATCTCTGAGTGGCCTTCTCCTCTCTGTTCCCAGCCCCCCCGCCTGCCCTCTCCCAACTCTTGCATGCTCTGGCCGATGCGCTTGTCGGTGCCCCCGGCTAGCTCTTTCGCTGGTGCAGCCGACTCTGAAAGTTCGTCGCTACCAGGACCTTTTTGTCGTTCGACGAGAACTACACTGGAGACCCATGCCAAGAAACACCCTGCCTGTCTCCAGGGTGCCCTGGGTTTCTTGGGCTTCGATGGTTTTGCTATGGACAGCGTGACGTTCACACACCAAGATTCCATGGACGTCCTGGTGTCTCAGGGTTGTGTTTCTTGTGGAAGGTTTCTTGTGGACTGGGCCTCCACTGTAGCTCTTTCGCTGGTACCGCCGACTCTGCCTCGCCACCAACGAAAACAGTTTTTTCCTCGCTGCCAGGATCTTTAGTCGTTCGGCGAGAACTATACCCCTGGACAACGACCCTGGCCAGGCCCATCCTGGGCCCCTGCAGCGGCTTGCACCACCTTCGTGGCGAGGCCAGGAGGACGCGCACACCGCTCCTGGATCCAGGAGTTCTGCTGCTCCCCTCGCACCCGAGAGCCACATCCCAGAAATGACTTCGAGCACCCAGAAAAACCATTGAAACGGTGTCGAACGAGTATCGCCTCCCAGGGCCCGACACGTTCAACCCCTCAAGTTCCGGTACTTTCGTGGTGCTCGACATTCCTTTTGGCGTCCAAGGCTAAAGAAGGTCGGAGCATCTTTCTTCAGGAGGGGCTCGGCCAAGGACGGTGCATGTTCTTGGCCGGCTCCCTCCTGCCCAGAGGCCCCCTCGAAGTCGTGATCTCACCGCCGTTCCTCCAAAAGCGCTCTCTGCAGCGAACCCGTCAAATATCGGCCTGCCAGCAGGTGCCCCACGGACGTCTCGCGCTCCCCGATCACCCCGGGGGCCCACAGGAGCTCCCGGGCACCCTGGGAGCTTCCTTGGTGGACGGTGCCTGTTCCGGAGATCCGACGTCGCGAAAAAGTGAAGCATTACGAAACATCAAAAGCAGCGCCCTATGTTTCGAGCCGAGTGGATTTGTGATGGTCCTGGTTCGGCGTCACCCCAGCATACTTCTAGTATGTGTGCGTCGCCCCCCCAGGGGCGACGCGCGCACCGAGAAATCTTGTAGTATATGCGTCGTGGCGGGCGCTTTCTGGCCACACCGCTCAGAAAACGATATACTACAATATTGGCATACTATATGTTCGGGTCGGACGCGCGCCTCCAAGGAGGACATATAGTGTGAGTATGTCTCTGTGCGTCCCACTGGTGTCCGAAGCCTGGCGAAAGCGCCCGCTGCGAAAGAGTTGCAGCTTCCAGGTCTTAGGGTTCCCCCAAGCCTTCTTGTGGCGAGTGTTCTTATCGTGCGTGCCTGCTGTGTCCCTTAGCGAGTTTGGGCCATAGCGCGCGTAATGCCCCTCCGGTCCCATCTTCCCTCCCCCATAACGTGATGTTGCTCCCCCCCGTGTGTCCCTGGCGATGCCGCAAGCGTCCGGCACTGCCAGTGTGCCACGGTGGGGGACGCGCCAGACGGTGCTAGGACAAGGATAGATCCGTTACAGAGCTATCTGGAACGCTCTCACAGCGTTCAGGAACGCCCTGAGAAGGCCGCGGCGCCCGAGACTTCCTCCAGAGCCGCCGGATCTCAGAGATGTTTGATTTGTCCCTGTGCCCCATTCTCTCCTCGTCCTGGCTTCGTCTTCACGGGGGCGTTACGTTATGCCCTCTCGAACCGCCCCCTCCCCCCCCCCATGACGTGACGCTGCCCCCTTGTCTGCCACGGTGGGCCACGGGGGCACGGGGGCGTCACGCTATGACCCCCCCCGCGCCCCTCCTCTCCCCCCCACGAATGACGCGCGCTGCCGCCTCGAAGGATAAAGAGCGCTCTCACGCCTCCGCTGCGCGCATCCCCCCCCCGATCCCCTCCTCCCCAGACCTCCGACGTTGGTTTTTTGCACAGCGTCAACCCCCGGAGGTCTGGACCCTTTCCTGGGGACTGGCTTTTCATCCTGAGTCGTCTTCTGACGGTGCAAAAGCTGCGGAAGGGGCCACAGAGGCCAACCATAGCGAAACACTTCCCGTCGTGATTTTTGTCACAGCGCAAGGGGGTCTGGGTCCGCCCCCCCCCCCCCCCCCCCGGAATAACGCCCGCTGCCGCCCCGAAGGATAAAGAGGGCTCTTGCGGCTCCGCCGCCGCGCGCCCCCACCCCCGCGCGCGCCCCCCCCTCCCCCCCGCAGTGCCTCGTGCTCGGCGTGGACCCCGAGACTGGGCGGGCCGTGCCGGGCGCGCAGGAGCGCGCCGCCCCTGTTTTGGGGGGCCGAAGGATGACATAAATAAAGAAGCTCGGAGGTCCGCGCAGATTGCTCGGATCGGCGCCGGAGCCCCCCGGCGGCGCCTCCAGCGCCGCCCCTGGCGCGGGGTCCAGAGCCAATCCGAGACATCCGCGCGGACCTCCGAGTTTTGTGTGTTTATGTCATTGTTTGTTCCCCTATTTCTGGTGCGTGCCGCCGCGGGCGGCGGACGCATCCCCGTCCCGTGCCCTTACGGGTCGGACAGCGATCGGTACGATCGAGAGAGGCACAGTCGGACGGATAATATCGAGATCGGCTCTGGGAGGGTACCCCAGTGTTCGTCGTGTTTACTGGATGTTTTTGTGCATCATGGGGAGGGTTAACCTTGGGTGTTCTGTTTGTTCTGGCCTAGTCCGAAATCCGGCTTGATCTGGCTTGACCCCGCTGCATCCGCGGCCCCATTTGGCGTAACAGCAGCCCCCCGAGTCGATGAGATAGTGCCGAGTCGGCTAGCGTGGATTAGCGTTGAACTAGCCTCGATTAGCGTCAACAAGCGTCGATCAGCGTCGATTCACAGGAGCCGACAAGATGGTATGGGAGGTTCACGTGAGTTGCCACAGGAGGGTCTGATTTTTGGCGGGTTCTGACTTGAGCTGTCTTGGAGGCTTCTGGGGGGTCTGGGTAAGAGGCCGCCCTTTCGTGGCTGGTTTTTGGGGGGCCCCGCGCGCCAGGGACGGGGGTCCAGCGCCGATCCAGGAGATCAGTGCGGACCTCCAGCAGTTTACGTTCATACCGTTGCTTCTTTCGTGAAGCCTGTGTACGACGAGAGACAGCAGTTCCTGACCACTGAACAGGACTCGCCGTCGGTGACGCCGCGGGCGTCGTCCTTTTGAGACGAGAGGTCGCCTGCCCAACAAAGGCCGCTGCTACTGTTGAACAGCATTTGCTGTTGGGCATCGTACCCATTTTTGCCTATCGATACCCCTTGCGGACGTGCCACACCGAGGCGCGATCTCATGGATCGAAGAAGAACAACGTTAACAACATACATGCATCGCCGCCAGACCACATGCTGTCAAACCGATTGTAATCGGTTGCCGACGTCATCTCGTCAGGCACAAACCTCGGCTATACATAGATGTGTCCAAATACATATGGATGCATGTCTGTATGTTATGTGCCACACACCTTGTAGCATAAAATCACACACCTAGTATATACACATGACTTGTATATACATATTGATCTACAACATTTGAACGTGTACATGTGAATGAACGCACATTTGCGAATTATGTATATACACATGCGCATGACCGGGACCTTGGATTGTTGTGGGTCTTGGCCCCAGAGGGCTCCAAGACAGTCCTGGGATGGAGAGCTGAACCCCACAATCGGCCCAACATGTGGAATATGCGCGGTCGATGCCAAGAATCAACCTCAAACCGCGAACCCTAGAATTCGCTTGGAAATCCGGAATTCGCCTCGGAATCCAGAATTCCCCAGAAACGCGAGACCCGGAATTCCGATCGGCCAAATCTGGATTTTTTTATGTTTTTTTCTTTACTGTTCCTCCTCGTTTTCTTCAGTTCCTCTCCGCGGCCCCTCGGCGACGACGGACGATGACGGACGACGTTGAAAAACGGTTGGGGGGCCGTTCTGGCCGCGGCCTGCCGGGAGGCCATGCCTCCTGCGTACGCGGCGCAACCCGCCGCGGCACCAGTGAAGGCTCGGCCGATTGCGGTGCCCGATTGCACCCCCTGGGCGGATCTGAGTCGCCCGCCGCTTGCGCAAGCCGATGTCGAGGCGCTGCGCGTCGCCTGCGAGGCGCCCAATCGTCGCGACGCGCAACCGGAATTCGCGAACGTGCGTCAGGATAATTTGCGCTCAAAGCATGAAGACCTCAGCGCGTTTCGAAACTTTTGGGCCGCCGAGGGCGACCGCAGGGCAGGGCCGCCTCACTCTTGCCCGCTTGTCGCAGAGGTTAGCATCCCACTCCTGCGAGCGTTGGCGCGCGAGTCAGAGTGGCCCGACGTTGGCTGAATCGATTTATTCACGTGCCGCGCTCCCTTGACGGGCAACCTGGCGCGCAGCGGCAACGGCCGCGCGCTCGGCCCAGGCGAGCGCCTCGGCGACGCGTCCGCCGCGGTCAATGAGCTACGCATTTGCGCACTCAAGCGCAGCGCGCCCTTGCTGTCCTCCCTTCGCGCGGACGCGCTCGCCAGCGAGTTGCTGCAGAAGACGCGGGATGAGGCGGAACAGATTCAGAATGTGTCCGCCATGAGGCGTTGGAGCCCGACGTCTCCACATCCGAGTTCGCCGCGGCGTCGGGCGCGTTTTGCTTAGTGCCCAGGTCTGGAGTTTCCCAGCTCAAACCAGACGGGACGACGAGGGCGCGCCTGGCGGGCGACTTCGCGCGCTCCACGTGTGTTCCCGCCGGGAAGTTCGGCGTGGAAGGCGTCGGCCTTCTCGCCGCGCTGGCGCTTGTCCTATGAGCGCTGCACGGCGAGATCCCCGCGTTGTGGAAAATGGGCATCGGTTCCGCGTGCCGGCGCATTCCGCATGACCGCCGGGCAGTTGTCAGCGTTGTTGGGGAGGGCCACCGTGCGTGGAGCTCGCGGTATGAAGTGCGACTGTTCGGTTTGTTGGCATCTTGCCGCGGGCGGGGCTGCATGTTCGCCCTGCTTGCGCACTTTGCAAGACAGTTCGCGAAGCACCCCGTGCTTCGGAACGTCGACGTCTACTTCTCTCCGGACAGACATGCCAAATTGTGTTTCGCGCGAATCACGGGGCCGCGTTCGGCCCGCGGCGCCGTGGCCGATTTAAAGTAGTTGGCCCTCGGGGCCCAGCTGGTCGTTCCCGTCGCGTTGCTTTCGCGTAGCGATCGCGGCATCCGCTGCGAGCCGGCGGGGGCAAGCGCCTCGAGCGGTTTGCTGCCATCCGCGGCGTGCCCCCATGGCGCCGCCTGGCGCTGAAGCGCAGCGTCTGTTTAACCGCTTAGACAAGGCGATGTTGCGCCCGATTTTTCGCGCACCAGAGCAGCCGCTGTAGTCGCGTCGGGCGGTCCCTGGAGCTCGCGTTGCGCTAGTGGATCCAGGGGCTCGAGCTCAGGTCGCGCGACGCCGCGCGGTGGGGGCAGGGGCGGGGCCGCGGCGCTTTTCTTCTGCGACGCTCGCAGCGCGCCCCTTCGCGTCGCAGCCGCGCGCGCGCGCGCCCTCCGAGGCGCTGCTCATCGGGAGGGGCGACCCTCGCGTTGCGAGCGTTTTCGTTTTTCCCCGACGAGGAACTGCGGTGCCCGCCGGCCCGGGTCGCGGTTTTCGTGTCAACCGACGCGGTCGCGCTCCAATTTTCGCGGCGCAAGAGCCGCGGGGGCCCTGCAGCGGCGGCGCGCAGCTGTTGGCGCGCGGGTTTGCCCGAGGCGTGCATGGCACACGTTGCCGGCCAAGTCATCGAAGGGGTAGTCTTCGGCTCTGCGCGAACGAGATGGGCACGGAACGAATGGGTACGATGCCCAGCAGCGACTCCTGTTCATGTTTTACAGGACTCGCTGTCCGCGCTGCCGCGGCCTGTGTCCATTCGAGACAGAAGGCCGCCCGCCCAACAGCGGCCGCTGTTGGTTTGGGACAACATCTGTGGTTGGGCATTGTGCCCAATGTTTCAGTGCCCGTTTCGGGCGTCCAAATCGGCGCGCCCGCATTCCTGCGCCTGCGTCGGGTCGACGACCGCGGGGTCGCGGCCCCCGCCGCTGCCGTTCTCGCGGGCCACCCGGGCCGCGGCGCGTCGCGCCGCCGCCCTGGGCGCGGCGGCACGCACGTTCAATGCCTTCAGCCGGGGCCGCGTCGGAACCAGGCGGCGGTGTCAAGGGTGCCAGTGCGAGAGCATCTGCAGCTGGACGTCCTGCGCGTTTATTGATCAATTCGACATGCGCCAGCAGGAATGCGATGCGACCGCCGAGGCGGCGGCTGCAGCTTCGGGCCCTGCCGCCAGCACGAGCGGCAGACGGGGGTCTGCAGCGGTGCCTGCGCGCGAAGTCGGTCAGGCGTTACTTCGGTGCGCTCTGCGACCTGCGCCAGACTTTCCACTTCCCTGCGCGCCCCGACCGAGCGGGCTCGGGCGCCCGCGGCGTCGGGTTCGACGCCCAGGCTGGCCTCTGATCGGGGGCGGCGCCTGCCGCCGCAAGCGCCCCCGCGTGCTGCGCTCGCGGGGGGGGGGGGGGCTTGGCCGGGTCGCCGCGCCCATCGCTGGGGCGTTGCGCCCCGAGGTCGGGCACGCGAGAATGGTGGCGCCTAGATCTGCGGGGGCGCGCGTCCGCAGAGTGATCCGCGCGCGCAAATCGGAAGTCGGCCAGACGGGCCAGGGGCGCCGCGGCGCGCGCGACGCTGCGGCGCGACCGCGGGACGCGCCGCCCGAGTCTTCGCCGCGCGCGCGTCTCGCGTGCCATTCTGCGCGGGCGCGCGCAGGCCTGCCGCGGGCGCGCGCGCGCGCGGGCGCGCCGCGGGGGGCGCGCGCAGGTCGGGTCTCGGTGCTCCCTTGCGCTCGCCACGCTGCAGGCGCACGTTTGTTCGTTTCGCGGTCCGTGCTCGCGGCGCGTGCGCCTGCGGCGCGAGCCCGTCGGCCATTCTGCCCCGCCCTTCGATTCTTGGGCGCGATATTGCCCCGTTGGAGGCAGCCCGTGACCGCTTTGCCCGCCCGCCCGCCCTGCCCTCGGGGAGCGACGCCCGGGCTTGCCTCGCGTCGGGGGCGGCGCCGTGGCGCTCGCCTGGCAGGCTGAACCCTAGCCAGGTCGCGGCGCCCATCTTTGGGGCGCTGCGCCCCGCCGAGGTCGGGCATGCGAGAATTCAGCGCCCAGGCTTGCACGGATTTCCCGACGGACTCGGACGGCCCGCTTCTCCTCCAACGTGGCCTCAACATGCTCGAGAGGGTTCCAAGAGGGCTCATGAAGCGAGCCTAGGCCCACCGCGGCGCGCGACATGCCGAAGGCGACCCACCATGGGCCCTGCACGGCTTGAAGACGGCTGCGTTTGACCATCAAGACGGCCCACAGGGCTGGAAGTGTTCTAATTCGCAAAGTGCAGGAGGGAAAAAACACACAGACACAATTAATCGTCGAGTCCCAGGAAAATATGGAAACTATAGGAATTGGGGGGGATGACAGAAACTTAGAAAATATGGGAAACTATTGGGGATCCTTTTTATTTGTGTCTATTTATTTGTGTGTCCCAGGGCCCCTCCAAAAGTTCCGGATGGCCTTCTGGGCGCTTCCGCGGGGCATTTCTAGAAATGCCCCCCGGGGTCCACATTTGTGGTCCGGTTTCGGGGGCGGTGGCCCCATGGCAGGAGATTGGCCCCTGTCAGCCGAAACGGCTTGTGGCCGAACAAAAGATGTTACAGAACACGAGCCCGAAAGTGTAACGAAATTTCCGTGTGGCCGAAATTTTGGCCAGAATGACAGTGCCAGTCGTTTTGACTTCGAACCTAATGATTCGATCGCGTTCGGGCACGTTCGGATCTATTCTGGCGCCCCTTTCGGTCACGTCCGGGAGGATTTCCAGGCACAGTTCCGGTCAGTACCCCCGCCCCAAACGGACGAGACTACGCGAGCATTGTCTTTTCAGCGACGGAAGCTAGACGAGAGCTGCGCAACGGCAGATGCCAGATTTTCCCGACGCGCGTGGTGTTGGCAACGCCGCGGCTGTGGTTCCATATGCCCGTCGCTTCGAAAGCAGAATGCCGCAGTCGTTGTTGTAGAGACATCGGCTTCCAATTGCCCCCCACTGCAGACATCTGCCCGCGACGTTTCAAGTTCTGTCCCAGTGTTGGGGTCGGTTAATCTAGCAGGAGCCCGTGTCGTGAATAAGGCACGTTGTCAGAGGTCCAGGCCGCTAGCGGGGCGCGCGAAGCATGTGCAATGGTACCATGTGCCTTTCGAGGTATGCTCCGGGGGTCGGTGATGGGGAGCCTGCGAAGGCGACCATATTTCGTTTTCTTTGCCCCACCAATGTCGTGTTCCTCCTCGCCTCTTCTTCCCTGTCCCTGCAGCGTCCCAGGTGGCCAGCGAGGTCGGAACGTGTCCCCCACAGAACCCGAATACAGAACAAATGTTAGCAACAACCACATGATGTACACGTTGGGGTCGGTCCTTGTTCTATTAAACGCGTATTCGGAGTGATCGCGCATTCGTTACGTGATTTTAGTTCGTTTAATAATTCATGTGCATGCACTTGTGTTTATGTAGAACTTTGGCGCGCAGTCTGATATACAATGGCGCGCAGTCTTTGCAATGCTTCTGCCGCCTGTTTGTGCTGTTGCCAATTCGTGTGACGAGTGTGGTATCAATCTGGTGTCGGCAACTGCGTTGCACACTAACTATATCATCGCTGTGTCGTCTTTCGTTTCTCTTGTGCCCGCTCCTGTCGCACTTATTTGTGCTGATAGTGGGATTTATCAGGTTGTCTGCCTTTCCATTCCGCAGCCGATGTACTCAACAAGCGGCTGATATATGTTGTCATTCATGCTGGTGTATCGCCCGCCATACTCAGTGCATTTTTGGATGTGGTATAGGCCACACATGGCGACTTCTGCTCGCTATGTTTGTTGTTTGCCGTCCATGTTCTTCGGCGTCCATCTTCCGCGCAGAGCTTACTACACTCAGAGGCTCCTACGGAATGGCCTGGAAATGCAGAGGAGTCGCCACGCTGCAGCGTGTTGCCGCCCGTTGCCTCCTGCGTGGGTATGCCGAGGATTCGCCACGCTGCTGCCCGTGGCCGCCAGTTGCCACCTGTGTGGGTAGGGCGAGGCTTCGCCCAGTTGCCGCCCGTTGCCGCCTTGTTGCCGCCTGCGGGGGTGTGCCGAGGATTCGCCACGTTGCCGCCTTGTTGCCGCCTTGTTGCCGAACATTGCCACTTGTGTGAGTGTGCCGAGGTTTCGCCAAGTTGCCGCCCGTTGCCGCCCGTTGCCGCCTGCGTGGGGATGCCGAGGACTCCCACGTTGCTGCCCGTTGCCGCCCAGTTGCCGCTCGCGTGGTTCTGCCGAGGATTCACCACGTTGCCGCCATGTTGCCGCCCACTGCCACCTGTGAGGGGTATGCCGTCGATCCGCCGCGCTGCCGCCCGTTGCCGCCTCGTTGCGGCGCTGTTGCCGCACCGTGCGCTGCGTGGGTATGCCGACGTTTCGCCACGGTGCCTCCCGTGGCCGCCCCGTTGCTGCCCCGTTGCTCCTCGATGCCTCCCGTGTGGGTATGCCCAGGCTTCGCCACGCTGCCTCCCGCTGCCGCCCGCTGCGGCCACGTTTCCGCCTCGTTGCCGCGCCGTTGCCGCCCTGCGCGCCGTGTGGGTGTGCCGAGGTTTCGCCAAGTTGCCGCCCGCTGCCGCCTGTGGGGGCTTATGCCGAGCCTTCGCGACGTTGCCGCCCGTGGTCGCCTGTTCCCGTCCGCTGCCCCCCGTGGCCGCGTCGCTGCCGCCTCGCTTGTTCTCTGGACATGCCGAGGGTTGCGTTGACACCCGTTGCCGCCCACTGTGGCCCGCGGGGGTATGCCGAGGATGTTCCAGGTTGCCGCCCGCTGCCGCCCGCTGCGGCCCGTGAGGATTGGCCACGTTGCCGCCCGTTGCCCTCCGTTTTCGCATGCGTGGGTATGCTCAGGATTCATCGCGTTGTCGCCCGTTGCTGCCTCGTTGCCGCCTCGTGCTCTGGATGGGTCTCCCCAGGAATCGTGCGCTGGGTGGGTCTCCCAAGGATTCGCCACGTTGCCGCCCGTGTCGTCCCCTTCCCTCCACACAGGTTGTATTGTTCCACAGTGCTACGGCTATGAATTACTGTTTGGGGTCCACGTTGACTAACATGTCGGTGTTTTGTGTCGGGGTCCACGGTCACCCTCCCTCTTCTTCATCACGATCAAGGATCTTTTCTTGAACGCAACCAGCCAGCTTTTGCGCCGAAGACCGCTGGAAACTGCCGAGGCCCGCAAGAGATCGCCAAAGGCTGCCGGAGACCGCCAACAGACTGCCCCAAGACGCCATCGATTGGCACGGTGCTCATGGGTATCACGGGGTCCATGGTCGAATGCGTAATGAATTCCGAGTGGTCGGCTCTTTTAGTATCTGCCCTGATGGGCCGATTTTCCACCACGACTGTAGATAGGACGGGGGAGAAGGGAGGAAGGGGAGGTCCACCTCCTCCTCCTCCTCTTCCTCCTCCTCCTTCCCCCTCTCCTGCCTATACTAGTGGTGGTGGAATATCGGCCCATCATGCCCCCCCATGGCTGGCAGGACGACCCTGACCTGACTCAGTCGAGGAGCAAGCGTGTGGCCGTGAAGGCCTCTCCCTCGTGCACGGCTTGATTGCGCTTGTCGCCCCTGCCTCCAGATGTGGCCTCTTGTACACACTCCGTCTGGACCTCCGATCTTACGTCGGGCTGCAATTCCTGGGAGGTTAAGTTCAGCATTGGCGCTGGTATATGGGTGGTCGAAATCCAGCCTGACCTGGCAACATCTTGTTTCATTTCGCTGGATCCCGCATCGGATTTGAATATTGTGGTAAATAAGTTGGGTTAACCTTGTTTGAATGATTTGGCTTACAAGCCCGTACGTAGTCGTTCTTATGAAGACCTCCGAGGAGTTGCCTCTTCACCTACGCTCGTGCCTTCCATGCTGTCGTAATCTCTCGTCGTCTGCCTCGCCACTCTTCGTTCCCTTTGTTATTGTCGTCGTTTGTTGCTTATCTAGTTCTCCCTTGTCGAGTCTATTCGATTACTCGGTCTGCTCTCCTGCTGAATGATACTTCTTCCCAGCACGTACGATGCGTCAAGCGGATACAGGCATCGAATTTCTTGACACGTCGGGCTTTCCCCGCCAACCAATCCAGGAACAGATCGCCGGGCGAGTTGCCTTGATCTGGGAAATGTGGAGGCTCTTTGGGGGCTCTGGGATTGTATGCCCGAGGCGCCAGGTACCCACTAAGGTGCGTGGGTTGGTGCTCCAAGCGGTGCTCGGATCGGTGTCTAATGTATGGTGCACGTAGCGCTCGCAGGAAGGCCACATGTGTAGCATGACACAAATAGGGATGTTCCAGAGACGGCGTTGAGTCAAAAGGGCAACGGAAGGACGACTTGGAGGAGGAGAGCGACGGGGGAGGCAAGGTCAAATCCGCCTAGCAATAACATATTGAAACGCAGCGCATACCGTTCGAATCGCTTGAATATTTTAGGACCCGCCAGGGCTTTAAAGGTTTCAGCTTCCAGTTTAGACTTTACTTTAAAGTGGGTCGGACGTTTGGGCTCCAAGTCGTTTCAATGCCTGGTGGGTTCGACGGATGCGGCGCCAGCCAACTGAATCACCGTCAGAGTCAAGGACGCGTCGGCCACGGACGGTGGATGTGCAAGAACGCATGGCGCACATAGATATTGGGGGGACGTGCAGGGGCGATGGGGGGCTATGGATGGGAGGGTGAGGGATACCTGGCAGGAATAATTAATACGAGGGCTTTGACAAGGACACGAGTGCGAAAGGAGCTCGTGGCAGATGGCCGCCCAAACAATCAGACTAACAGATCAGATCAGGTGTGTTAGTTTCCTTTTTTCTTGCAATTGAAACGAAGCCTCAGCGCCATACCCCTTCTCGCGGCCATCATCCCATGGCCAACTTCATGGCAAGAGGTATCGAACGACCCCTAAACTCCAGAGCTCCTCTACTGAAACAGTTTGCACCTACCGTAACGCAAGCCTTAATGTATATGATATGCTTGTTTGATTGGCTCGTTGTTGCATTTTCATACATTAGTGTCTCTTCATAAGCATGCATGCTGTTGTTTACCTCCCCGCATTCCTGCCAGCGGGGCCCTACTTCTGGAGCTTCTGAAGCTTTTTGATGGCGGCCTTAGGGGCAGCCGTCCCCGCTGAGGGTTTGGGCGGGGTGGCGGCGGGAATCGGAGGGTCGGCACTGCCCTTCGAATGGCTCGGAGTGGCCGCATGGCCCTCGCTGCCCACACTCGACGACCCCACAGAAAACTCTGCGCCATGCATCAGCCTCCGCCTCAAGTCAGGCGGAAGACTAGAGAGATGCAACTTCAAGACAGTGCGAAGAAATGCTAAGACTCCGTCACGCTGGGCCACTGCTTTTTTGTCGCTCTTCCCCTCTGTCTTCACGGCAACTTGAGCCGCGACGCACTGACCGAGCTTCGGCACGAGCGTGTCATACCTGGCCTTCAAGTCCTGGGCCGTATCCGAACACTGCTTGAGGAGCATCATGCCATCTACGGAATCGACTTTCGCAATCGAGGACGTCCTCCCTACCATCTGGGCCCAGACTGGCACCTGCTGTACGAACCCCTGGACCTTCTTGGTCAGGCCATCGTCCATGTCATCCACGAACCACTGGTGCTGGGAAAAGTCCCACTTGTTGATGCTGTCGATGATGGGGTCGAACTTCTTGGTATATTCCTCAAGAGCCTGCTCTGCGTTCTTGAACTTGGTTGCCTGCGACTGAAGTTGCTGGACCCACTCGGCCGTAGTCTCCTCGACCGCCTTGTCGAACCAGCTGGAGCCTTCGAAGATGAGCGGGCACGATTTCTTCGCCGACGCAACGTCGGCGAGATGGCGCGCGATCTCCAATATGTTGCCGACGGGGGCGTCGTGCTTCGCAGTCGAGGTGAACAACTTGAACTGGTTCAAAGCAAGGCCGGCCTTCGTCACGTCCAGGGCCGCACTTGGAAGCCCGCCCGTCTCGATGAAAGCCGCCACCTCTCCCTTGGCAAAACCCTTCGTGACGATCGCAACCACGATATCGACCACTGAATTGGTGATGAAGTCGGGCCACTTGTTCGCCAACATCTTGAAGAAGCCGATCATCTCCGAATCGGCCTCGCCATTGCACAACGCCTGGCTCGCGGCGAGAAGCTGGGACTGGTTCAAAGTCGCTGACCACGCCTTCAACCACTCCACCAACGCAGTCTCGTTCGCGAATACATCCTTATGAGCATCAACATCAGCATGTTGCAGCAGCAGATCGCACAGGTCAAAGAGCCTCTTCACCACGTCGACCTCCTCGCACATCGGCATACATATCGGCAGGTACCACCGCGTCTGCTTGAGCCAAGTAAAAATGTCGATGGCCTCGGACTCCTTTAGCTCCTGTACGCGGTCGGTCTTGCCGTCGATGGTGTCCATGATGGACGCCTTGATGAACGTGGCCATGCCGTCGATGATGAGGGCGCCCTTGTGCTCGATGGTCCTCGCGGCGCACTTCTTCAGGAGTGGGCCGAAGCGCTGCGAAGCATTATAGCAGTCATGCGTGAACTGCTCCTTCGGCGAACTGTCCATGCACCCGAAAGTCGCACCGAAGTCCTTCACCGTCTGCTCGGGGAGCTCACCGATGTCGCAGACTGCGTTGTACGTGTCCTCCCAATCTTCGTCAAATGTCCTGGTGACCGCATCGAGGAACTTCTGAAACGGCTCCAAGAAATCTCCAAACCTATCTGGAGGGGACACGACGGCGTCAGAGGCCGCGCTTGCTTCCGCGAACGTGGTAAGAACATCCCAGGCCGTCTTGTCATGCACGGCATGGCCCCCCTTTCTGCGTCGGAAATGCGTCTTGCATCTAGGGCTCAGCTTGTCCTTGAAAGTTACGAATGCGCCGTACTGCTTGCGCTCGGAGAGGCCGAGGTGGGAGACGAGCTCGGAGTGGCACAGGGCTCGGCTGGCAGCGTAGAGGCAGCTGAGGTCGGCGAGCGCTTGGGCATGCCATCCATGAACGGTCTCCCCATGTAGCCCGTTCGCCGTGACGTCGAGCGTCGCGATGTCGACGGGCAAGTAGTCCATGGCCTTCTTCATGGAGTCGCCGATGCCGATGATGGCGCTGGCTTCCTTATTGCCCCACGTCCTGTCCATGAGTGCGTTGACGATCTGGGCCTGCAACGTGAAACTGATATCTGGATGCGATGCCATGAAGCCGACGCCAATCTTCATCTTGGTGCTCGTGGCAAGGATCATGTTGAAGAAGAGGAAGAACTTCTCGTCCATGTCGACGTTCTCCATGGACGTGTGCATCTCCATTGTCACGATGGTGCCCAGGAGGGGCACTGGCGCCGCTGAGATAATCCGAACCTCTTCCTCCTTCAGATTTTGAGAGGCCATGTCGAAGAACTCTGAGCGAATCCTGGTGAACAGGCTGCGGCGCACCTCGATCTCCTCAGCGAAATTGAGCAGGCGGTCGGCGACGGCCTGGCAGTCGTCATGAGACAGCTGGTTCGAGCATCGACGTGCCTGCACCCTGATAGAACTGACCTTTCTCTCAACTTCCCTGGTCCGCATGCGCGCCTCCCATTGGTGCTCCCACGTAAAGGTCTCCTTGAGGCTCTTGAGCATGTCCTGGCCCTTCGCGAACTGAACTTCTGGTCCACATCTCCGCTTCTTCCTGAACTGGTCGGCACCGTCCTCGTCGTCGTCGGAAAGGTCACCCAATGACTGCCGTGACGATTTCTCCGACCGCGCGACCCCGCGCGGCTCTGGCGGGGCAGAGCGCAATGAGCGCAACCGCGAATGCCTGGGCGCGCAAGTCGGGGGCGAAGGCATCGCACCAGGCGCGCCGTCGCCAGCCTCGTCGAACCCGCGCCGCGAGGCCGCGGAGACGACAGTGGGGCCCGACGCCGAAGACGCCCCGAGGCCGCGCGTCTCGCCATCATCGTCACAGAGTCCTGCGTTCCTGATCTTCATGGTGCCGTTCATCCTGATGTCCATCTTTTCGTTGAGGCACTCCATGTGCTCGTTGGCCGCGCCCTTGTCTTCGTGCGTCTCCTCTTTCTTCTGTCGGACAGAACTTTCAGTCGACCTCCTGAAACGTCTCTTGCCGAACGCCCTGGAGTGGTCGTGTATCTCCACGTGCCAACCGCCAGCCATCTCGACCAAGTCCACGTGCGGGTAGTGGTCGACAATGTAGTCCCTGAGCGCCAACTGGTCGGTAATGTCCACTTTGCCTACGAGCCGCATCTCCGCTGCGAAATCGTTGATGGTCTGCCTCGTCCCCTCCTCGATATCCTCCTCGTCGACGGCCGCTTTCTCCTTCGACGTCTTGTTTGCGATGTTCGGGGGGTCTCGCTCGTAAGCCTTGCCCCCTTGAGCTCTCTCCCGCCTGATGTCCGTGAAAGCTTGCCCAACGGTTGGATCTGTCTTCCGCTTCTCATTCAGAACTTCCATGCTGTGCGGCTTGCCAGTTTTCTCGTCCACGAAGTACCGTCGCCTCGTGTCGTAGCACCTGTAGCACTCGTCCCCCACGCACTTTCGGTACT